ATTGTTACACGTGACAGAGTGACACCTACTCAGCTCAGCTCGTGCAAGAACATATGTCAACTGATTGTACTATCGTCCTCGAAGGACTCGTACTCTAAGTTTTTATGGAGGACCACGGAATCGAGTAAGAGATCTAAGAATGGACAGTCCAATAGTCCATCGGAATCAGCGTAGATTATTGTCTATCAGGAAAATCTTCCAGTGTCGACAAGTAAACAAAGCAGGCACGACTTTTTCGGAATAGGAATTCAAGTACATACATTTCTTGGGTCTGGTTTTCCATTTACTCTTCCTTCTCTCCGTCTCCAGTAGTTTATATTTTCGTGCTTCACATCTTTTGATCAAGACATTGTTTGATCTGGTCCCTCTAACTTTCCATGTTGCTGATCTTTTCGGAAATCATATACTAAGATTAGGCTTCAGCTTTCCTTGCATTTCACATCACTTTTGTTACTCCCACGGACATAGTGCTTTCGTCTATTAAATTCAGTTATATACTATAACTGCACAAGTGTTTGGACCTTATTCAATGACGGCATGGCAAGGAGATTCGGAGAAACCATTAAAAGGAACCAGATAATCAAGAATACTAAACGACTGTCGGCAGATGGAAGTAGCTTATCTACAGAAGCCGTACAATCGTAACGAGGCCGAGAATCACCTGCACTTGTGGTGAGGCATCACTGCAATCACAACTAGAAAACAAACCGAAAGCATTGGTCGTAGGGAGCCAGAACGTGACTATCAAGAGAGGAATTTTTAATTGAACGGTTGAAACAGATATTTGTACTTATTGTTCGGTTTTGGATCTCAGTTTAGGCACACCAAGTCAAAGTATTTCTTCATGTGAATCATGTCAAGGTTGAAGCTATTTAAGGTAGCTAGTACGGGCTCTATTGGAACTAGCCCATCGAGGCTAGCTAGGCTAGCCCATGGTTTCCTGTTAGTTTCTTCCTTGTTTGGATTATGGGTCGTCCCATCCCTCTGTTTTTTTCCCGTTCTTGTACCCAAAGATAGGGCACTCGAAGGGTACATGACTAATATATTTAACATACATCATAAATTAATCAACTTGCCAACAAATGTTGACTACACGAGGTTTCCACTTGACGTGGTTCGGCTACTCACTATCGAGATGAGGAAATGATTGTGAGTCTCCTATAATAATAGAAATTCGACACACGTGATCTTTTTAAGAACACGAGAAGACCTCGTCATGACATTATTCAGATCTCAGTTCAACTTAATACTCAAATGTGGAAGTTTTTCAGATTGATCACATGTGAGAAAAAAGATCGAAAAAGGACTGTTTTCCAATGAAAAGAGTGATGGTCAACATTCTTATATTAAAGCCAAATTTCCACTCGAGTGGCAACCTATATAGGTTGCAACCTGAAATTTACGAGTATCTTCCAACCAGTATGTGCACGATGCGTCTTATATATTTAAGGACTTGTGAACTAAGTCTTTGATGTTAATATAAAGATTCTATCATTACTACTTTACTTTGAATCGTCACAAATACAGAGATTGTAGAGATTGTCTAGTTCCGCCCTTTGGACCTTGAGCTGACAAAATCTGATCCACGATGCTAGTAAGGAAGATATTGTGTTCATGAGGGACAAGGGAGTTTACGTTCCCCGATATTACACTCCTATATCCCAGGTTACCAATGAAATTAGAGCATTCCGCGCAACAGAGTACAAACACTCTCTTTGAATATATTGAACAGGTTGTATGTGGCGGAAAGAAAACGCTGTTCGGATGTATGAAGGTTTTCCTGTCGATGTCTCACAATTGGTCAGCCAGAAGAACCTATTTCTTGATTTCGTTACTGATAGTTAAAGCTGAAAAGGTTAATTTCATTGCACAAATTGGCTGCGTGAACAAGTCATAATAAAAATAAGAGTTTAGATAGCTCTGTGCTGCCTCAAATCTCTTTAGTCACAGCCGGCACATTTTCCAGTTCACCTAATCTACTTCGAAGCGCAAAAAGCGGCCAAGATCGAAGAATAATATGAATCTAACAACATAAGCCGGAAGAGAACTAACATTTGTGGAATCTGCAGTCACTGTGATTGTTATCCTGTTTATAGGGAGGTGATTATCCATTCGTCTCCCATACTCACCAGATCATAGTAAGAAGAAGCCTACTGCACAGGGGGCGCAAAAATGCCCTACAAGAATCTGGATATCAAGCTTATTATATTGACATACCAGATTGTGCAATAAAGTTGGAGTTTCATGCACATATGCCCGTCTCTCTGTGAAGACCCAGTCTGAGTCAAGTTCTTCGTAGATTTCAGCTCTGCATGAGTTCCTGGGTTGACTGGAAAGTGCAATGGGCCATGATGACATGGCTCGCACTGGGATGCATGTCAACACATTCGCTTATAAGAAATTGAAGTGCTCTTTGAGTATCCTCTGTTGCTGCTTTCCAATTTCTCATTTAATACTGCTATTGCCCCTGATGTCAAGGTTGACGTAGGACGTAAAGCATATGAAGAAGGTTCCAGCGGTGGCACTCGCGTTCTTAAGAACACAGAAATATTCTCCTCCTTTTGATCATGCATGGCCGCTAAGTGGACCTTTTCTTCTGGGGATGTGGAGTTAGGTTGGAAACTAAAGCGGGAGTGAGAAAGATGCAACGCTTTTACGCGAACCAATGGTTCACTTGAATTACAGCAAGAACGAAGTTGACGAAGTCATTGACAAATTTGTTGAACATGTGTTTCTTATGCGTTGGATCTAAAATCAGAGAAAGGGGCTTTTCTGTAGGTACGTTCGGCATACAACCATCTGGAACATGAATATGTGTATCGTGTGAATTGTGCTTCGTCTGCAGCTTCCTGAAGCGCATCTTGGAAAAATTGGAACCCTCGCATGCTTTTCATAGTTGAGACCTGAATAGAGAAGTTCTCGATGGACTTGAATTCTAGCAATTTCTCTGCTTTGACTGTCTAAAACCTCGAATAGCATTGTGAGACACCACGATGTCCAATCGAATTTCTCTTCCACGAATAGCATTGTGAGACAAAGCGACTGCTGACATTTTGTTGAGTCTATTCTAATTTGCAGATGCAGAGCACGAGATTGAAACGGGAAAAAGTCTCAAGCGAGGCTGTGTGTATGATTACTTCTTCGCATCGTGAGTTCTACTTCAAGGACTCTCCGGACGCTTATCCCCTTTCCAGCGACGGGGCTCATTGCCATGATCTTCTTTCTCTTGACAATTTCAACGCTGGAAGCTGGGTGATAATGAAGTACATACGTCGTCTTGACCTCAAATCAGGCTACAGGGGCAACATTTCTCCCATGCTACTCTTATCAGTGTTGACGACAGCTCGATTTCTGGTTATTCAAATCAAAATCGGTGTTGTTTAACGATTTGATTCGTCGTGCGTCGTCGTCGTACGAATTAACGTCGTGCTTCACGTAAGTCTTCAATCCTTTTGACAGAACAAAAGGTACCGACAATTAGAACAACATTCCGACAGAACGAAAGGTGCCGACAATTGTTCAGTGAACCGAATCCAACCCACCATATCCTCAGAAACGCACGGAAATACTGTAAGTGCGTAAGATTTGTGTCAAACCCTTAAGTACTAAAACTTCCAGTTTCTCCATGATGAAGAAAAAAATCCTGATGACGAAGACCTCCTGCGGCCAAGGAAGTAGGCTGGAATATGATTTCGTCTTGAATCATAGCTCAACAATCAGTATCCACTGCTTGTTACTAATTCTGAATTATGAATTTCAGGAATCAGTGATTCATTCATTCAGCTTTGACTGCACCGAAGTGAAATGAGAGACATGATCACATGGAACGTGGCGAAATAGCAATCGAAGGACGCGAGGGCCGGCCGGTTCCGGCGACGAGGCATCGCCCATACGACAGAAGTCGCATTGGCGTGGACCTTTTGTCAACATTAATGGAGCCAAATCCAGATTAATAAATGGCGCCCGTGTGTCTGAGCCACCTACCAGCTCGCCGGGGATTGCCACGTAGCCGGCTAACTAACTTTCGGCTAATCGGCTTTCACGCGAAAATTCAATCAACCGAAATATTCGGCCGAATTAGATGTTTTTTGGATAATTTCGGCAGAAAATAGTTGGCATGGAAATGGTTGGTTGAGGAAATAGTTGGCCGAAAACGTAAATTCGTTCCGAGTATACGGTTCGTTTTAGGCCTCGGATAGCGGTGGCAATATTTATCGGCTAGCCGCCTGTATAATCGGCTAGCCGGCTAACAAAGAATATTAGCCGGCTAGCCGTAGCCGAGCCGTGCCCATCCCTACAGCTCGGAAGAACGAGTGGAGATATTTCGCATGCATCCGCTCGTACAAAGCGGATGGGGCATCATCGTCATCGTCCGCTATCGTGGTGGACTGTAGAGAGCTACATGGTTCTCCTTTGACGAGGTCGTCGCTTCTCCTGCAGTCTTATCTCTACGGCGTTGCGGACGCGGTGGCTTGCGTCAGCAGCTCGGTCGCAGCAGCTTCCCACTTACCGGCGGAAGACGTTAGTTATTTCCATTACTCTACCCTTCGATACGTGCAATTTTTGCTGCCGAGTGTATCTGGTGGAAGCCTCTGACACATAGTTTGCTCTTACTGTACATGCGAGGAGAAGTACAGGCTGCAGTCCTGAAATGTCCGGCCTTCTGATCCTTGCCGTCAGAGGTCGCATTGTGTTCGTGGGACAAATTCTTCACGGCATTTGGAGGTTCGTGTTGGCACAATGTTGAGCGTTCAAGCAAATTGCAGAAGGTAAAGAAGCTTCTGACAAAGCAAAGTATCGCTATAAAGAGATGAGAAGAGCCCGTGATTACAACTATTTCAACTAAAGGTGAGGTAATAATAGTCTTGTTGTGATAGACATATTACATTGTACTGTATCCCAAGTATTCAAATCAGACTGCCTGCAGACTCCATCATGAGACGTGATACATGTATATACCATAAGTCTAAACCAAAGTACTACAAGCTCAACTTTGTGACGTGATATATGTAATCCTAATCATCTAAGTCAAATCGCCTACAAACTCCAGCATGTAACGTGTTACATGTGTGGACATGGTTGACACAGGTTTTTTCCCCGTTTTTCTGGTCTGCATTTAAGATGATGGGAATAGCTATCGAGCGATGGGAACCTATGATGATGGTAATGGAGCAAAAGCTCAGAACAGGCCAAGAAAAGCTAAAAGCAGATAGCAGAAAGATGACAGGTGCCCAGACACAAAGTTCGTAAAGCTTTGTCGAGCACTACCGATGGACCTATCTAATCTGGGTAAGTTAGCCACTGTATTGTTCTCTTATCGCTTGGAAACTTAATATAGCCAAAAATAGCCGGCTCGGCTCGTGTCGGTCATAACTGCAGCTAATTATGACGAGATCCAAAATTCACGTTTGTCCTCAACTTGAGCGGACGCTCATGTTCCGCAGCTGTCGTCTGAACGTTCGAAGATGCCGAATGCAGCTACTCCTCGCAAGGAACTGGGCATGTGGTCCAAATACTTGAATGGGAGACACTGCACATAGAGCAACTAGAGAGCGAGTGTCATCGCACTCACCGGCAACCAAGGAGACATTGGCTCCAAACCAGGGAAATCTTAATACGGATGCCGAGGTAAGGTCCAATTGCCACTGAGATAAATTAACAATGCTTGACTCGGAGATATTGGTCTAAACCCAAAGAAATATTATTAAGGTTGCCGAGGTAAGGTCGAAATGCCACCAACGTACAAAATAATGCTTGACTCTGATCTGTGATGAGGTCGCAGAAATGACCTTTATGGCTAAGCCAAGGTGTGAATCAACACCATCCAGTTTCCTGTTCTTTCCACGCTACATTATCCTCAGTGGTCATTGGCTATCTTGATCCCATAGATCATATGATCTCTAATCTACCTTCGGTCTCAGGGACAGGAAATCTGTATTCAGACCATGAGTAGCAAAGCTGCTCGGGTCCTAATGACAGTATTGCTCTTGTTGAAAATATTGTATTGACTTGCTAAAAATTATTCACGCCGGTGAATGACAACATATGTACAGAGTAGGCGAGGTCTCTGCCCGTTTGGAACATCATTTTCGAAACTAGCTACATGTGAAGTATCAGGCTTTAAGTACATGTGAAATATCAACTCGAGGAGTAACGATGACTTCAAGAGGATGAGCCATTTGGGTTGTTGCAGAGAACTTCTCTTCCAGATTCACATCTTCGGGTTTCATACCATTGGGAAGCGAGAAGTTACATGTCTGGAGGAGCTGAGCCAATGTGAGTTGAAAGAGTATCATCGCCAAATTCATACCTGGACACATCCTTCTGCCGGTTCCAAATGGCCGAAACTGAAAGTGCTTACCCTTGTGATCAAGAGGGCTGTTGATAAATCTATCTGGGTTGAACTCGAGGGGCTGTGGCCACAATTTTGGATCTCTGTTAATGGCATAAATATTCACAATCACTCTGGTGTCCTGGGGGATATCATAACCACCTAGTTGAGTGTCCTTCACAGCAGTATGCGGAACAGTGACGGGTGCTCCGGGGTGCATTCTCAAGCATTCGTAGCAGAAGGCCTTGAAGTACGGCAGGCTCTCGAGATCTGCTTCTTCCACCACTCTTCCCATTCCTACCACGGCCTCCAGTTCGTCTTGCAGTTTCTTCAGCACGTCTGGATGTCTCATGAACATAGCTATCGCCCAAAGAATAGTGTTGGTTGCAGTGTCTGTTCCCCCGATGAGCATATCCTGCAATGGCAAAATAAAACGAAGGTGTGTGAGCTTGCAGTGGCAGATCAGATCACAACCATACGCAGTCAGGGGAACAACTTACAATCGGACCAAGAGCACCAGCGCAAGTCAAGCAAGTTAGAATCCTGCAATACAGATTCAGAAGTCTTTTGGTTCAAGGTCTTCATAGATAAGTCGTGCATATGGTGAGTCCTGCGAAAACTTACAATAAGAAGAGCCTTCACTACTTCATCCGAAACTCCGTGCGCTTCGTTGTTCTTGTCGCTCTGAAGCTGGAGGAGAACATCAACGAAGTCCATCCTCTCCTTCCTGGTGTCAGCACTCTGCCCTCGGTGCTCGGCGATAACGTTGTCGAGAAATGAGTCGAACTGGAACCTGAGACCCCTCATCTGTTTCTCGTAGCCGTCAAAATCGAATCTGCGTAGAAAGGGGAAACAATCTCCGATTCCGAAGGTCGACACACTGGTCACCGTTGCCATCAATCTGTGGAAATCGTTGGACTCCTGCCCTTCCTTATCACTTTTGTACATCTTTTGACCGTAATACACTTTTGTGAACATCATTCGGGTCATGATGTTGAACGACATCTCTGACAGTTTCAGATCGAACCTCACGGGAGTCCCTCCTCGCCCATCTTCTAAGGTCCGTGTCACAGCCTTGAGCACTTCGTCCTTCCTCGAATCCTGAACACCAGATGCACACATATCGTCATCAAGTCTACTGCAAACTCCAACAAGGCCAGATGTAAGTGAGTAACGTGGAAACATAATCTGCAATTGCCATGACGATTGGGGGCCCCTTCTGAAAGGTAATCTTCACCAAACACAAAGCTTGGGTCAAATGGATCGACTAGCAAGTCTTTATCTCTGAAGGACGGTGACGGTGGGATCGACATGTCCTACGGAGATTTGTGTGATAGCAAACTCGAATGATATTCAAACATAATCATGTCTCTGACTGGCAGAAAGCTGTGTTGACTGTTGGCAGATGACGAATATCCTTCTCCAGGCTTTGATTGCCCCGAAGATGGGGAGATCGAGCTTGCGAGGCTGAGCATGATCGGGAACAAAAGCAGCGGCGAGAAAATTCTATGGAATCTATGCAGTTGATGCTTGACGAGGAATCTAAGACCATGCAGAACACCATGCTGTGAGTGGCTATCACTAAAGAAGAGAAGGAACCCTTCTCGTTACCTCGAACTGAGACAGTCGTTTCGCATTCAGGAGTTCCACGACGCAGATTTTTCTGAGCTTTCGAAAGCGGTCACCCAAAGGTGCAAAAATCATATCTTCGCCATACAGAACCACGTCTGAGAATATGTTGCTGCTGCGAGAGGCAAACAAGTGATCGTGGGTCTCGAGAATCTCCTTCTCCAGTTCAGCAGATGAAACGATCGCCATTCGGAAACCTCCCAACTGCAAGAGAATGATCGGTCCATACTGCTCGGCAAATTTGGTGAAACTCAGATGCGCTGGTTCTGTTTTCGAAAGAGACAGCAAGTGTCCGACCACAGGCCACTTAGGAGGCCCTGGTGGCAGTTTGTATCCACGGCGGAAGCTCCTGGAAAGCAGCACAGCCACCAATGCCGCCCCGATTGCAATGATCTCTACATAGTATTGCCCGAGCCAGCTGCGAGCTGTGAGTGCAACGTCCATTTCTAATCGTCCAAGTCTTTACACTTCTGCTTCAGAGCTAACAATCTCCAGATCCAGGTCCCTTGGAAGTGTACACCGTGGGGAGCACACTCAGCTCGTTTTTTTGGGTTATTACACAGACTGGTAACTAAGAAGCACTCGTGCCTGCCATTATATACGAAATCCCATCCGTTGCTCGGTCAACTCACTCCAACTTTGTCAACCGAAACTCCATACGGCTAATATCAAATCTCAGTGTCGTCGCATACCTCATGGGTTTGCATCTTCGTGCTTGCTGCTCATGTGGCACGCCCGTCATTGACTAGTATTACCTGCAGCCTTCTGGGCCATAGCCTTTTGGCTCCATAACTGTGCCCAACTTCACCTGGATATACCGCACTGAGTGTGTAATTGTTGGAGATTCACTAGGTTTCACCAGGAAGGGGCCACCCATCATCGAATGATTTAATCATCGACCATGTACGTACACCCATCAAGTCGTACAGGGTCAAGTGAAATTTCCATCGAACAGTACAGGGATGAAACATGGAGCTCGGCCGCAACTGTGAGTACCTCGTTTGTTCTGAAGTCTAGCCCTCCGTCCGTCCTAGCGGCCCGACTTCTTCTCGACATAGCTGCCCATGATCCATGCCCCTCCTCTATTGGGGAGGATTCCAGATGTGACATCCTGGAATGCTGAAAGTAGATTTGACAGAAGTACTTTGGTAAAAAGACATGAGAGATGTCCTTTTGCTTTGTCAATTTACTACTTCGTATATCAACCTACCTGCTCGTATTTCTACTTTTCAATATGAAGAACATAAGTACAATAAAAAAACAAAAAGTTCACTTTTAGTTTTTGTTTGTTTAGTGTTCTTATGTTCTTCATATTGATATCGAAACAGACGTCTTTACATGTAGAGGTGGAGTGTTATGTTTAGAGATGGGATACAACCATAGATATTTTTGCAAGGTGAACAATCTTGCCAACCTTCTTGTATTCTTACCAACTAGTAGCCTGAGTGCTAGAATACACCATAATAGATTAAGAAAATTTGAGCAAAATGTATCTTTCATTGCAATATGGCTATTCTTTGTACTATTGTACCTATGTACTCTTGCCTTAGCAATTATCAATGCTTGTGATTCTTAGCTTTACATGCACAGAGATGCATCTCACATACACCAGCTAACGTTCCTACATCGATGAAGTTTCGATTTGGGTTATGTAATATCATCAATCTTTTCATTAATTTATTGGATCAAATTATGGTTTTTTTATGATGATCATCTATTGTGACATTGGCAATGTGATATTTCTCTTCATGTTTTGATGCGAATCATTTCATGTATATTTCTATATCCAAACCAAAAAACGCAGGGAATAGCATTCTTGATCAATCAATACAAAAAATTAGTTATTCACGTGATAATGAGATTTACCTTTGTAGCTTACACCATTCAAATTCATACTCTCCAAACCTTGATATGAGTAATTCACAGCCTATACGGGCGTTCTTATCTGTTATTTAATTACCTTAATCTATCTAACTATAAATAAATTAACTAAACATAACCAAAATAATGCATAACAATCTCCCTTTCCTTTCAAGTCTATGGACTTGTTTAATTGTATGTGATTATTCTATAGAAAGTAAAATACTGGCCTGGCACATAGAAATATATGTCAGGTGAATCACACATTTCTATATAAAGAAAAAAAAATAGAACTAAATTGTATCCAAAATCGAGAGTTCAGTATCATATAGAGATTATAGAATTATTAATCTTCTTTATCTGTATCCATATGTTACCCTCGCAACCTGACAGTATCTAAGAAATAGTTTTAATATTGGTTTGATTTGATTAATTATATCAAAATTGATGATATACTTATTAAGATTGATTTTATCATTAATCTTGACTAGATCAAATATTTTATTCTATTTATAAATGAATGAAATTTATGTCGATATGTGTTTATTTTATAATACGTCGTCCAATTTATTGTTAAACGTAGAATACAGTAATTGCAATGAAGATGTGAATGTCATTTGTTAATATCATCATCATAAAAATTTCATTCAACAGAGTTGCTTTCTTTACATTTTTGAAATAGACCACACTACTCACTTTTGCAATATATGCATCCATTTTCAAGTGTTAACATAGTTTCAATTGCCGTTTGTTTTACCTAGATATTATTCACCTATATATAGAAAACTCATTAATTCATTGTGTATGATTATTAGTTCTATGATTGATAGTTGTATATTTATGCTACATACATAAGATCAAAATTTATTAAACATATGACAACCAATTTACCTTATTCTAATTTTTTCAATCTTGAATTTGACTTGCATTCATTATCTTGATAATGAAGTATTTTGCCATGTGTATTGCAAATCATGAAAATTTGAAACTTTGCATTTACTTTATATAAACCTTGGACATCAAGATGTTTTTTACTATATTTGTTGAAAAAAATGATAAACTGAGGAATTTAGCATATTTTTGTATGTCAAATAAATGTTCAACACAGTTTTTCTTGAGTTAATCATAGCTTTCATACATTCATATTCCAATTTTTTTTCTTAAATTTTTTATTATATAACTAGATAAGAATACAACAAATAATATCATTAAGATAATTCTATTTTCTGAACTTTTTTAGAGCTATTATAACTATGTAAGTCATATAAAACACTAAAATAGTGAATAAATGATATTTCATTCAATTTAATTTTGTACAAAGACATCATATACATCTGATTTGATTCTTGTGACTTCATGCGTTCATAAATCAATTGTTTCATGATTTATGGGCTTGCTTTAACCTAAACAAGATTTCTATCAATCTAAAACATTTATTTTTTAAATTTATGATAAATTGCCATCGGTACAAATTGTAAAAAAATCCAGATGATTTGAAAGAAATATAAATAAAAAATGCTAATGTATTTATAAAAAATCTGAATTTTATAAAAATTTATATAAGATTTATGTGTGAATCATTAGAATCTATCTTTATTTTTAATTTTTGCACTTCTAATCTTTATAGTCATAAATTTTGCATCAAGTTGTTTAACAAATTCATTCATTTTCAAGTCTTGTTGTCAATAAAGAAAGATATTTTCTTCTAGCTTCTAATTTCATTCAAGCTTGTTCATGGAAGCTTAAATATTATTGTATAATAGGGTTCATGTGTTTTTAAGATCAAAGCTATACCATCATCACCAGCAAATTTAATTATTTGTAATTACATTTTATCACTCACAGTGAGAAATCAATGCAGAGTTCAAATAAAACCTCAAAACCTTTTGGATGTTGATGATTTGCTTCATCTTTATGTTTTGGCTACTACTTGGGTTGGATTATTAGTTTTGCTTCTTAGTATTTATTTTACCTTTTCACCAATATGATTACCTATCAAAGCACATTACTTTCAAAATAAATTTAGATAACATATATTCTTCTTTATTTTACAAAATGACTATTTTTTTGATAAATCCTACAGAATGTAACTTTCTAAAACATGAATAAGAAGTAGATGTATTTAAACTTCACCATGTATATATTCTCTTTAGAAGTTGTTGATTTTAACTCTGGTTAAACATTAACCTCAAGTTTAAGCTATCTATAGCTAGGTTAGTTGCGGGTGTTGGGTATATATACCCCAAGGCTTCTGCTCTGTACGGTGATTGTAGTTGTTAGTAAACTCTGTACGGTGAAATAGTTCAAGCCCTCTGAAAGGTGAACTATGTTATATTTTATGTCTCTCGTCTACTCGTGTTTGTGCTTGTGTCTTTCGGTTTAACTGCAATAGAAGTATGATACTTAACATCAAAAGCAATTCGATGTTGATTTTAATATAGAATGCATAGTTTTAAAGTATTAAGATATATCATATAATTGTATTTTTCTATGAAGAAATTTTATATCTTTTATTCTTGTGACGTAGGTTTGAATAACATAAATTGTTACATTAATATTGAGATGTAATGTGATACCTTTCTTTGTAAAAATTATATATTCATAAGTACATATGTATTCCAAAATCACAAAAAAGTGAAGATCTTACAATCACACACGCGGAGACTAAAATAAGGAGTTTATCACTTAACTACGTCCATAGAGTAAAGACCTGTAGTGATAAACCCATAAGGTATGAATTAGAATTTTCGTGAGATCCCTTAGATAGTCGCAGTGTAACCTAAATCCTATTTGGAATTATACTAACCCGAGTTATTAGAAGATCTGAGTTCAATCTTTACACATATAAAAATACATGTTGAAAGAGATTTTTTGTCTAACCATGAAATACCCAATTAAAAAACTTTCATTCTTGATCATATAATTCACATATAGCAAGAGATACAAATTTTTAAAAACATTTTAAACTTCAAATATATCAAAGTACACACAAGAACCTCAAACTTTACAGATCAAATCATCCAATTTATGATTGTAACTATTTTTTATCTAAACCAAACAGTTTGATATCAAGTTGATTTTTTTTTATCGATAATATTTGTGACCAATAAATAAATAAATATGAACATGATTTCCTATCAAAATCATTCCCTTGATTCAAAATATCTGAGATTTCAAAAACATTCAATTTTTTGTATGAAAATCTATATGTTCATGTAACTGATAGATTATCCGATCATGATGTACTTTTAAGAAAACATGTGCTCTAATTAATATTAAAGAACGAATTTAGACCAACAACTAATGTAAAGATGAAAGCAAAAGGCTAGAAAAACTATACGTAAATATCATCAAAATAAATAATATGTCAAATATGATCTTATATACATCCTATTCATGATTAATTTCTACTTAATATGATCTATGATGAATATATTTTAACATGATTGATTTAATGCGATAGCATTATTTACAACTTTATGGTATGTTACAAATTTTAGGTTAAATTAAATATATATCTAACCTAATCTATATTTTTTATTAAATTTCCTAAACTACAAGAACTAAGATTTTAATGTTATATAACGCCTTCACTATAGACTCGGCATTGTATCACAATTGGAAAATTATGGATAATTTTCTCTTCAGAAAATATTTTGTGTCTAAATATGAAATCACATATTCAGTCACCGTAACCCAAACTTCAGAACAATTTGTAGGTATTCCATAATCCGAATATATAACAACGCACACAGACGCGTGCATGCAGTGTCATTAGCATCGATCACACTGCATGCATCGAGAACGTTGTGGCTTTACAGAAGAGCTGACTGAAGTCAAGAAAAGGTTGACGTAAGTGAAGACCACTGTG